CAAATTTCTTGTCCAGGTTGGACCATAATCTTTCTCTCTCACACCTGGCTTGTTTATTAATATAGGGTTTGCTCTTTGCTTGGATTGGCTTTGAACTTCAATTCTCCCAATCTTTGCCTCCCATGAACTTGGTATTACATACAAAAGGGTGCCACTCTAGTTTGTTTATTACTAAGTCTCAATGTATTTTTCAGTTCTGATGTTCCATTATTATTATTATTTGCATGTATACATGCTTGCACGCATGTGTGTGTGTGTGTGTGTGTGTGTGTGTGTGTGTGCATGCTGGTACTAGGGCTTGAACTCCAGGACTGGGCACTGTCCTTTAGCTTTTTCTGCTCAAGGTTGGTGCTCTACCATTTGAACCACAGCCCTACTTTGAGCTTTTCACTGGTTAATTGGAAAGAAGAGTCTTACACTTTCCTGCCCCAGCTGTGTCTGAACTACAATCCTCAAATCTTAGTCTCTGAGAAAGACAGGGGTCCTGAGAGTGATCCTGGTGGGCAAGCCTGTCTGCAGGCTCCAAATATCCCTCCACACCATCTGACTGAGCTGAACAACACATTCATCCAGGATATGTCCGGGGTTTCAGATAAGATGGTTCCTTCTGGCCATCTCTCCTTTGGCCATGGTGAATCAAGTTGCATCTGGCTTTTACATCAGTATGCTAGGAGTCAGTCCTGGACATGAGGACCAGATCCTGGAATGGGGCCTGTCTAAGCACTGCCTTCTTCTCTATCACTTATTGGCTTTGCTTTGTTTTTAGCATTCAGACACCTGGAGGTACAGTTATCATCAGAGATGTATTACAATTCAATGCCAAGGAAGGGACCATGATGCCAGGTTTTGTCTATTTAAGGATCTATGTGGGATCCCCAACAACACTTTTTGGAAGTCTGTGAACTTCCGTTAAAATGCAGAAGAGAAAAATTTGAGTCTGTCTCTGGACCTAAAAATAAATGTAGGCAAGTGGCCAGGAAGAGAGAGAACAGTTAATAAGTACTAGAGGGGAGCTTCCAATCTGGCTTCTGCTCCATCCATCGCCTGCACAGAAGCCAGGGGGAGCGGCTCAGAAGGCAGGCCTCCCGGGGCTGATCTAGTGCTAAACCCTCTTCCGTTTGGAACTCACAACCCAAGAGTCAGCCCAACATGGCCCGGGCTGACTTTCAGCCCAGAATTCTGCACTTGAATCTCTTCAGTGGGTTTTGCTGTTGCTTGCTTTTGGGCTTCTGCACATCATTCCCTCTGTCCAGAATATATGTCCAACATTCCACAGCTCTCACCATCCTGCCATTCATATTTCAGATCTCATCTGGAATTCTTATCCATAGATTCAATTAAATCTTTTAGTGGCAATTCATATATCATCACAAACACCATCCTTCATCCAGCAGCATTCAGTACCTTCTCTGCACTCATTGCTAAAGCAGTTTCAAGGAGTTTCCATACTTGCTCTCTGTGCTGTCTCTGCTGACAGAGATTGTGTCTGCCTTGCTTACCACTGATTCCTGAGATTCAGTGTGTGTGTGTGTGTGTGTGAGAGAGAGAGAGAGACAGAGAGAGAGAGAGACAGAGAGAGAGAGAGACAGAGAGAGACAGAGACAGAGAGAGACAGAGACAGAGTGAGAGAGTGTGAGTGAGAGAAAGAGAGCGCGAGCGAGAGAAAAAGCGTGAGCGAGAGAAAGAGAGAGAGAGAAAGAGAGAGAGAAAGAGAGATAAAGAGAGAGCGCACAGGTGCTTGCCAGTTTCCAGTCTTGAACTTAGGGCTTAAACTTTTTTTTTTTGGGTCCTGCGCAGGCCCAGAGTTCAGGCCCCACGACCGGACCCCCCCCAAAACAACAACAACAACAACAAAAAATTTTGGGCTGGGAAAGTGACTCAGTGGCAGAGTGCTTGCCTTGCATGCATGAGGCCCTGGGTTCGATTCCTCAGCACATAAGCAAAAAGAAAAAAGCCGGAAGTGGTGCTGTGGTTCAAGTGGTAGAGCGCTAGCCTTGAGCTGAAGAGCTGAGGGACAGCGTCCAGACCCAGAGTTCACAACCGGACCAAAAAAAAAAGAAAAAAGAAAAAAAAAACTTTTTTTGTACTGGTGCTGAGGCTTGAACTCAGGACCTGGGCTGTCACTTTGTTTTCTCCCCTCAAGGCTAGCACTCTTCCACCTGAGCCACAGCTCCACTTCTGGCTTTTTGCTGGGTAATTGTAAATAAGAGTCTCATGGACTATTTCCTGCCTGGGCTGGCTTCCAACTGTGATCCTCGGGTCTCAAGCCTCCTGAGTATTAGGATTACAGGCATGAGCCACTAGTACCATGGGGTGCCACCCATTTCTTTCTTTCTTCCTTTCCCTCCCTCCCTCCCTCTCTCCCTCCTTTCCTTCCCTCCCTCCCTCTCTCTCTCCCTTCCTCCCTCCCTCTCTCTCTCTCCCCCCTCTGTCTCTCTCTCTGTCTCTGTCTGTCTGTCTGTCTCTCTCTTTTTTCTTTCTTTTTGCCAGTCTGGGGCTTAAACTCAGAGCCTTGGCACTATCCTTGAGCTTCTTTTTTGCTCAGGGTTAGCACTCTGCCAATTGAGCCACAGCACCATTTCTGGCATTTTTTGTTTATATGGTACTGGGGAATTGAACCCAGGGCTTCATGCATGCTAAGCAAGCACTCTACCACTAAGCCACATTCCCCACTCAGCTGTCACCCATTTCTGAGCCTTTTGTTCTGAGATACAGAGTTACATTTCAGCCTTTTTCATTGCCAGTTTAAGGTTTAGCTTTCTTGGATATATTACATGAATTACCCAGTGCTTCCCAGCTTCTAATATTTTGTTGTGATTGTCTCCTTTCCCATTCTTTGTCTCTGTGGTTTTATATCTTTTAAAAAAAATCCCTAAAGGGAGTGGAGCTGTAGCTCAAAATGGAGCACTAGTCTTGAGCAAAAGAGCACAGGGACAGCGCCCAGATCCTGAGTTCAAGCCCCGCAACCACCCCACCCCCCAATCCCTATAGCTGTCATTTCACTGGAATTTTTGGAGAAAACAGAAATCAGAGCTTATGTCCAACCATTCAACCTGTCACCTTAAAGTGACATTCTTCAATTCTTAGCATATTTCCTGACTTATGGTAGAAGCCCAATAAATATGTAGTTGATCAAATAAAGTCACTGCTCTTCGATCTTTGAAAAATAGTTTGTGTGTGTGTGTGTGTGTGTGTGTGTGTGTATATGTGTCTGGACAAGCCACTTTCCTGTGGGGGCTGTAGGGTCCTCTCATGCAAAACAGCAGCAATAATGCCCCGCTCACAGAGCGGGGTACCATAGAGAATGAGGTTGTCTATATTTCTGGTGTGGAACAGTTTGAAATCAAAGCAACAATTCTTAGAAAGTTAGTGTTTTATTTAAGCTTAAAATTAGCCTTCACACTTGAATTGCAAATTTGTCCCTAATTAATGCCTTCAGGGCAAAATCCAAGTTTCACCCGGCTTGATGCTTAGGCAGAGGTATTAAAACCCTTTTCAGCAGGGAGCAGACACTGGCTTCAGTCTAAGCTCGAATCCCTGCTTGAACAGGCCAAGGGGTCCAGAGCTTCCCCAGATACTTGTGTGGATCCTGCAGACTGGGAGTCTGGGCTTCTCTGCTGGCCGCTGCTCTCTGGGCCGCAGAACCAATTTACCGCAGAAGAGGAGTCACACACGCCCATGGCTGGGCTCTGCACGGGGGTGGCCCAGGCGACCTGGATCCACCCCATCCTACCAAAGAGAAACTGAGGCAGAGCCATCGGGGAGGGGGAGAGCAACGCCATGCCTCCCCAGACCCCTTCAACACTTCCTCAAGCCTCTGTCTTCGGGTCTGAAGGTGTTCAGACTTTCCCGACCTTGCCTTTTCCAGCCCGGACCGCGGACGCCCACCAGTAGCGCTGCCAGGCGCAGGTGAAGGCGAGTAGAGGGCGGGACTTAAGCAAGGGAGGGGCGGGGCGCGGCGCGCGTAACCACGCCCAGACCACGCCCCTCCCCTCGCGGGGCCGCGGAGCG